TTTCCTTATCTAGAAATCGAGAAAAAGAATTTTTTTTAGTTTTTACAAAAACGAAGCTATGCTGTTTCTTTTCATGTAGCTGTATACTACAAGCCCTTAGAAGTATAACCGTAAATTTTCAGCTTTTCAGAAGCTCTGGTTTTTGAAAAGTACCAAATTTAGCTTTTATCACTCGGGTGTTCAATGCTGAATTAGGTAATTTTCGAAAACTAGGGCTTCTGGGAAGCTGAAAATTTACGGTCATACTTCTAAGAGCTTCTAGTATACAGCTACATGAAAAGAAACAGCATAGCTTCGTTTTTGTAAAAACTAAAAAAAATTCTTTTTCTCGATTTCTAGATAAGGAAAAAATACAGCAACGGTACAAATGAGTGTTTGATATAGTGGGCAATTTTTGTGAGCAAGTTGGAGATCCGTAGGATTTGTTTGAACAAAGATATGAATTTTTCGCGATTTTTTGAATTTCAGTACGGCTCAGATTTTGGGCGCAAACTTACGGTGGGTCGGAGCTGGTGCGAACTTTTGCAGACCATCTTGTAGAGCTTGCTTTGCTCTATCGATTGGTATCTTGGAGTCCTGCAAAGAATATGAGGTGTATGACTTATCCCCGTTAGAAGTTAAGTGTAACAAGACTTATGTAACAACCTAATATTTTTGCACATTCGAATAGTGAGTTGCACACTCCAGCTTCATTGAAATACTGAAGCAGTGCCATTCTTCAGGAACAAATGTGGTGGGAATCAAGTAAGAGGGACAAATGCGGCCAAATGAATGTGAACCCTAACTCAAAGAGTTGAAGATACGTAAGCAAGCAGTGAAGGTATTGGAAAGGGTACAGATTATGCGATTGTAACCTAACATATGAAAATTTTTGCTATTATAGACTCTAATTTAGGTGCCACAGAGGGATTTCTACTGTATTATTGAGTTGGGATCTACTGGGAATCTCAAAATGCCGCCAAAATACAAGTTGAAACTATTAAATTTCTTAAAAAGCTTGATACTCTACGTTCGCGCCGATAAAACTCTTGAGTAAGAGCAGGTGATGTGCAGTTCCACAGACAACATTTATATGCGCAGGACGCTGCTTCAATTACTGCGAGCACCTAACATTTCATTTACAAATTGGATAGTCATGTCCAACGTAGGGAAATGCATGTGCGAATACGCCTTACCTAAATCTCAATCGTGTGTATGAAATATCATTCACCGCATACTGAAATAAGACTTGACAAGTCAGTATATTAGTCTGGAAAGTTTTGTCCGTTTCATTCATCAATCACAGAACACCAATACATGGACGACTTAGGTAAAGGCTGCTGTATAACGAAGGCGCAATGGCGATGTTAGTTGAGCGGGCGCGAACACGACGCGCGCGTATCCTCACTGTTGTAGATCCAGCACCTCATGCGCTCTGCGGCTAATAAAGCCGCGTTCGCGTCCGAAGATATTACGCCTTCGCCATGCAGCACCCCTCTTTCTTATAGTTATACTTGCTTTTTGATCTACCCTGTCTTTGCTATGTTATCGCCATGGCTTTTTGAGCAGCTCAGCAGTAGCCAAATTTTTCTTGATTTCTAAAAATTTTTTATTCTAATGTTTTCAAAAAGCGCTAACAATCGTTATGTAGAGCACACCTTCGACTACATTGTATCCATTTTAAATTACATGGGTCATGTTTATTAAATTTGGTATAATTTTATGTTTAATAAAAACCGCGTCTTTTTGATTACGTTCACCACGTAAAGCACGAACTTCCAAAAAACCTGCTTTCTCAAAACAAATCATGGTTATGTTGGATCAAAAATTGTTTAAGAGTAACCATGTTTCAATTTGCAGAAACTTCACATGCTTTCGCGTATTTGCGACAGTTGCATGTTTCATGACTTTATCGAAAATTGGAAACTTTAAAGAAATATTTTTTAGAGCTAAATAAGAGATTGAGCGAATTCAAAAATATAGTCATATAGCCCGAAAATTGCTCTATCTCATCCATACTTAGCCTTCTCCGAAACTTTGGAATGAAATTTTTGAAAACTAGACTAACTTTGAGCAGTAAAAATCAACGGATGAAGAACTTTGGCAATTATCAAAAAAGCGTACAAGATTGTGGATCGAAAATGCATAATTAAGAAAGAGAATGAAAAGCTGCATCGAATACATGTTGAAACTCATTCAGGTCTTTACTTGCATGGTTTTATAGTGGTTTGAAAAAAAAGGACAAAACTTTCGGGGCAACCTAATATAAGATTTATGCGCAGTCTTTGAGATGATCTGATTTGAAAACAGCTTGTACAAACGTGCAAACGTTTAATGAACCATTTTATAATTCGTTGTGTTTATCTACGTCATTGCGTTTGACGATATTACACTAATTAATACCACATCTGTTGTTTGCAATCGATCAGCTAAATTCTTCCGTCCTGTCTTCGATGAATTTGACAAAAGGAAGGGCGCTAACATAGTAAAGTGTCAGATTTTAGACCGAAGAAACCATTAAGTTTACTATATACTGCTAAGAAACCATTAAGTTTACTATATACTGCTATCTCATATACCCAAGTTTTTCCGCATTTCTGAAATCACCATATATCCATATGACATCCATATCCAGACCGAACACTAGCTGATAAACCTCTGACATACACTCGAAGCACAAAATTTCCGCTTTGGAAATTTTTTGGTATGATAGCCTATTCCCTAGTGAAAATCATGCACTTTTATTTGCCTTTGGTTATTTTTAAGCAGCGAATAACTGGTGCGGGTTGAATTTCAATTGTGCGTAAGCAAGGCCTATAATCTATTTTAAAGGTTATCATCTATAGAAAAAGAGCAACGGCTTTTTTAAATGAAAAAAATCGAAGAAGGGACATCTGCAACAAGATGAACTCTTCCAATAGAAAGTATAGTTCAAGTTTGTGAAGAGTTATTTTCTGCTTTTATGCGAAGAAAATAGGAAAAAACACTAGAAACACGGCAAAAAAGGTTTTTTTCAGTCTTATGCCAAAAGTGACCTATCCCTTCATTTCCCCATTTTTACTACTGCCACTAAATAGAAGGCATTTCTAGGAACCATGTTCAAAACTAAAGAAGTATGACAGGCTTATTGCTAAGCGCGTAGATATAGCTCTGTCCTTGCAAAAGTGCATTTGTTTTTATACCTCACTCGCACGCGTCGTCAGCCGTCCTCGCATCGATCTACTTTTTCAGCACGGAATGGTTTCAAATAGAAATTCATCGACTTTCCTTGAATGATAACAGCGTGTTTTAATTTCTTTGATATTTCTTCACTCAAAAACATAGCAGTTCTTTACAAAACCATATTAATCATGCAAATATCAGTCGAGATTTGTTGGTTGTGAAAATTCATTATTGAGTTGCAGTAAGACTTTCAAAGAAAATGAGGTTTTGTATCAAATTACCGATTCTTCTCCAATCTCTAGAGCATTCACTTCAGATTACCATTTTTAATTATTGTAAATTTCTGGCGTTATTCACTGTTGTTGAAATTGGATTAGAAGGATTTTACCTCAATGTTTTATATGTTACATTATGGCATTCTTATTCGAGAATAACGAGAAATATAAGGTGAAGTTTGCTCTAAGGGCTCGTCAAAACCTTAATCAACACTACAGATAAAAGTAAATGAGTCCATTTGTTTGAAATTATTTGAAGCGCATTCTACATTTTCCACGATAATTCACTACTTACTTGAAATAGCGAAAACGAAAGAAATGGAGTTTTTGAAAGTAAATTTGTTGACTCGAGAAATTTTTCGCTTGGAAGCGCTAATTTATTGCTAATATATTGATAAAGCTGTGGGGGAATTTTCCCAATGGAGCAATAAAACGGTAAAGGAAAAACAAAAAATTCTGCACATGTGAAGCGAAATGAAGTCCTCGCCAGTAGACGCTTTCGATTTGCGTCAAAACGCCTGTTGACGCATATAGTGCAACTTCTCAAGCTTTTGCCAATACACGTTCCATTTTGCAATGGCAAGAAGATAATCGTACTGCATCTTCTCAGAAGAACTTAGCGATATTTAGATTTGCCCGACTCTACATATTTTCGACAAACTGATTTCAAATATTATTAATAGATATGATTTCTGTTTAATAAGTTGATTGAGTATAAATTCCAGTAGAGTCTTCGTATCTTTCAGATTATTTTTGCATATTCAGTTTCTGCTTCTTGATTTATTGAAAGAGTAGGCAAGAAAGCTGTATTTATTTTTATCCCTACTTGACGTTCAAGGATTCCATCTAGCCGCCATCTTGTCACCAAACTCATCAATGAAATTATCAGCATTTTTCTCTTTCCTAATCTTTTCATTTTCTTTAAGTGAAGTGGCTACACTTCGAAGAGTTTAGACAGCGAATCGTTGTCTTTCCAATAATCAAATGAATTGTGTTTTTCTAAGCTACTTAGTGCTAGTATTTCGTTTGCAACGATTTTGTTGAGAATTCTTCATCTTGCAATCTTGTAAATAAGCTAAAAGTCTGGAAGTCGAATCTGGAAACTTTTTGGTCTCCAAAATAACAAGAACGTATGTCCTGTCATACGAAAAGGTCTTGAAGAGATTTTGAATGTTTGAGGAGATCAGAACAGCCTTGCATCCCTATGGGATATTGAGACGGAAAGGCGAACATCAAAACAAAAGAATCTTATAAATAAAGAACCTGTTCAATGGTTTTTCCGTTGGAAAGATCCCTTCAAGAATTTTCGATCATAGAAAACCCAGGTTTAAGCGGATTTGCAAAAATAAGGACCTTGAAGTAAAAATAATCAAGTTTGCAATAACTGGTCTATTTATATTAGAAACTCAGCGGTAATCATGTGTGAATGTGCTTCTGACTACTCATTAAGAAGTTAGATGATTTGGGGAAGCTTCCGCAGGCTTTTTCACTTATTTTCTATTCCTGGTGTGGCTTCCGCTAAGGTTCTGCTCCCTTCATAATATTTTCTACAAAATTACCTCTATATAAATTAACATTAGTTCAGCCGGCTGGCAATGCTTGGCACTAAACTTATCGGGTTATGCACCCGAGCTGCAGGGGCATCACAAGCACTTCTGGCGCAAAGGAGTTCGCATACAATCTGGTATCCAGATGCAAGATTTGAAAGGCAATTTAAGGCATGATATTTTGCCGTGAAATCGTATTCAGCATAAGCTTTCGGTTTTACAGAGCGCTGGAGGTATGGGAAAATTGTGGATGAGCGAGAAATATGATGAGTACGATAAGGCAGTTGGTCTGGACAAGCTGGAGAAGTTAGCTTATGAGATGCCAACGTATTCTGACGTATTTGAAGGAAAACATCGGTATATTTTTTCCATATTAGTGAATTTCTTTTTCAAAGTTTATGTTCCTTATTTCGTTAGATATCCCTCTTAGCTGATGGCATGAATGGATAACAGAGCGGCCTATCAAGTAGGGCTATAACCATGGCAATGAAAATTGCCGAATAAGCTCTGTGGACCGCTCCGCTACCCATTTCCATATTTTTTGGAAGAAGTTATCGTTAGCCCAATCTTCAGTACAAGTCAAAGGTAAGATAGTTGCTTACGCATACATATTACAGCATTCTATGTATTTTCTGGTGCATTAGTTGAGTAAAATGAGTAAATATCAAAATTAAACAATTCTTTTCCAGTGCTATCCTTCCAGTGCAGTTAAATTATTGCAAATAGGAAACCTTTGGATATACACAACGGACTTTTGTATAGTTCTAACCACTGTGGGAAAGACTAGTGGCCGAACACTGTCATAGAAGTTTTCTGGAGATTTCTAGATTAAAAAAGCATAACTCACTCACAACTGTATAATATGGCAGGATCTTTGCTCATCAGCAAACAGTCGTTTGAGTGATTCGTCGGAGCTTGAATTACACGGAACTCTGCAGATTGCAAGAAATTGAAACTACCGATTTTCTCGTATTAAAAAAGGCAAAAATCTTCCTTTCTGGATTTCTCCAATTTTTCTCTCCCCCCCCCCCCCCCCCCAAAAAAAAGAGAAAACCTTGTCGCTCTTCTACAGTTACTTGTTCTAGATCTACTCTAGCTGTTAGGGGAAAAGTTGTCGCAACTCCTCTTCGCCTAAGAATTTTATACAATGGCCCGAATGACCCAACTTTGAGATGAAAGTTTATGGTTCGAGATTTTTGCAACTTTTAACCTTGACAAGCCTTCTATAGCATAAAACTTCAAAATCACTATGCATGTTTTTGATCATTATTCATGAAGTTAGAGCAAGGAGAGTAGAAGGGAAGATTTGTTTTTTATTTCTGAAGGTATGTAACTTTGATTCGAACGAGGATTTACGAAAAAAATATATGTAAGAAACTAGATCTCGCACTCAGAAAAGTTTATAATATGCTTACAAGAAAAACTGCTTTTCTTCATACATAGACTCTTGGAAGAAAGTTGTATTTAGGAAAAATTTGCATTTATGAACCAGCCTAATAGATAAACAAGCGGAATAAACAATTTCGAAAATATGTTTCTATTTATTGCGAACGGTTGGGAAGTTGCTTGATTCACCTGGAGAATCATTGATCAAATTTTTATTCTCTTCGATTAAGTGAGAAACAACTGGAGAATATGATCCTGAACTTTGGTCCACAACATCCTGCAGCTCACGGAGTACTGCGGTTAGTGCTGAAACTAGAGGGAGAGGTTCGTCCCTAATATCAATATAGTTCATATACTGCGGACACAACGTTTGTTTGTTAATTTTTGTTGTTAAATGCATTCTGCAAATTCGCTTTCAGATCATCATCAAAGCGACTCCTCATATTGGTCTGCTACATCGAGGCACAGAAAAGTTGATCGAGTATAAAACATACACTCAGGTACCTAATTGTGATTATAAGCTGTTCAAAAGTTCTGTTAATAATGTTTGGACTATTTTGTTTCGTATATACATTGATCGAAATTGAGATGTTAATCAACATCTTGGCTTCATACTGACAGCTTTAAATTACTGATTAGGAATATCACGAAAGCTATCTCTGAAAAGAGCATTTCCTGAGCTACTAGGCAGTTTGAATCCCAGATGGAGCACGTAGTCGAATGTCGCTATATCTATCACATACGAAAGTTATGGCGCATTAACCGGTTTCTGCAAGTTCTGTAAAACCTTCATCTACCAAATTTTCCTATTGGGCTTCAGCAGCGTTATTCTTTGCAGCATCATCGCCTGGGATTCAGCGAATTATTCAAGCAGATCAAAGTATTTGATAGGTTTTACCATCCTGCGTCAAGAAAAATTTTAGTTTTAAAAACATTTCAAACCAGCGCCTTTTCTTTTAATTTTGATCTTCATTATAAGAAATGGCAGGAGTTTCATGACATTTAAAAGACATGTAGGATTGGTGAACACTGAGAAAATGAATATGAGTTGACAAGCTGAAGCAGCTTATCTCACTATTTACAATTCTATATACGAAGAGCTGCGGCCAAAAAAATCTAAATACTGCTTTAAATAGTGCTACTGATTATGTAAATGGATATAAAACAATAACTTGAAAGAATCAGGATTCAGCATAGTTGCACGCTTTATGAATGTTTATCAAACTTATGATTAAAATTTATACGTTTACAGGCGCTTCCATATTTTGATCGGTTGGACTATGTCTCAATGATGACCAACGAACAGGCTTTTGCGCTTGCTGTCGAAAAGTTGCTGGGTATTGAAATCCCACCTCGGGCAAAGTACATTCGCAGTAAGAGGTTTTTTATCAGTATGAAAGCTCAACATTACTCTGTCTTTTCCAGCAATGTTTGCGGAACTTACTAGACTTTCAAACCATATCGTAGGCATAGTCACACAAGCTCTAGATATTGGTGCTATGACTCCACTTTTCTGGATGTTTGAAGGTAAGGGTATATACGTAGTTTTTTTTTGTCAAAGGAAGAAGTTGGTAATTTAGAAAGAGAAAAGCTGTTTGAGTTTTCTGAACGTGTCTCGGGTGCTCGAATGCATGCGAATTACATCCGACCAGGTGGTGTTGCATGGGATCTTCCTCTTGGTATAATGGATGACATATACAACTGGGCTGAAAAGGTATGACGAACTATAAGTGACAAAACTTAGATACTGGAGCGGCATGGTTGGATTTTGAAAAAGCTGGGAGATCAAAATAGAATTCATAAACAATCGTTGACGCGATCCTCATTTCGTGCGCCAACACTAGTTCGCAAATGCAAAAAATCCGACTCCTTTACAAGATTGGTTTTTTGAAAATAGAACAGTAAATTATGTAAAACCAAACTTGGTATATTTCTGCTCATGAACAATTTCGAAAATATCAATTAAAAAACCTGTGTAATTTTATCAAAACGGCAGTAGAGTTCCTCTAAATTTGGTAAGAAGGCATTCGGTACGAAGTTCTTTTCAAGCAGTTTGAGGGTTTTCATTTGGGAATTCTATCTCCTCATATGCATTAGAGTCTTTCTCCACTGTATTTTTGAAGAATTTTAGTTCCCCGAGCGAATTGATGAAGTGGAGGACATGCTTACTGAAAACAGAATCTGGAAAGCAAGGACAATTGATATTGGTAATCCGTTATTCAGTACTATACCTACTGCATATCGAAACCTTTCTAGCCATTTAGGCATTGTTTCTGCTGCGGATGCACTGAACTGGGGCTTTACTGGAGTAATGGTGCGTGGATCAGGAATAAAACAGGACGTTCGGAAAACCCAACCGTATGAAGCGTACGATCAAATGGAATTTGACGTGCCAGTTGGAACTAAAGGAGATTGTTACGATAGGTCTCCTGAATAGATTTCTAATATTAATTTCTACCGAAGTGCTAGCTCAGATATCTTTGCCGGCTTGAAGAAATGCGTCAGTCTTTGAGAATTATTCTCCAATGTCTCAACAAGATGCCCGCTGGTGAGGTGAAGGTCGATGATCATAAACTTGTCCCTCCAAAGCGTGCGGAGATGAAGGTAATCGAGAAATGCTTATTGACTTGTGGGAATTTTTCGTTCGATGCTTACTTGACTATAGAAAACCGAAAAATTGTATGGTTTGCGCTTGTCCGCTTTCCTCCGCAAAGCCTGCACAGAAAGGCTAACACTTTTTTTAGAATGAAAATCGAAGTTAACTTACTTGAACATTTGCGGAAAGAGCTGATTGTCCACAAGAAAAAAGATATTGCTTGACCCTGCCTGAAAACCCTTAAAGTAATCGAATGCAATTTCCAGGATTGGGCATTAATTTTGCAACACATTGTTCAACATAAATAACGCTAAGCTCGCGCTGATCAGTCTCCGAGTTGCCAAAGATTTAAAGAGTTGTAGAACTAGATAAAGTGAATGAAAAAGCGCTTATTTTGATGTTACCATCTAAACAATAAGGACGGTTGGCGTAGTGGTATAAGGCGCCGCTATGACCAAATCGGACGCAGGTTCGATTTCGCCCTTGAACCAATCAAGGCCTCTACCCTCCAGGGCTGATAAATTGGTACCAGGGTAATCTGGAAGGAAGCATTGACTTGGTAATCGGCTGGCGCCCAAGTCATGTAAAAGGTTGAAACGCATTCAGTAGCCTCTTCGATGGAAGTAGAGTGTGTCCGTCGCATGCTTGCAGAGGATACCGAAGACGCCGAAATCTTTATTTTTCATCCTAATTTCATCCAAGAACAAAATGTTAGTGACAGGCAACGGTTGGACAAGTACATGTTGAATCTCTATGATTTGACACCTCAGCCCTGGCGCAGCTCAACCGCTACCCTGTTTTGTCCATGAATGAGTGCGGGGTGGCATATGATTATTATATCCACTTAAAGCAATTCCCAAACCAACAATATTCTGGGCGTCTATCATGTACTACTTTCTTGTCAATGGCATTTCATTTACGATGAAGCTCATTACCTTTGCCCAGTCTGTAACAATGAAAAACAAATTGTCATTCGAGTTCACCTTAGACAATTGTAGGAAGTGCCTTATGCCTTTAACTTGTCATCAGTTTACCTATACCGTACAATCGAAGAGATAGCATTTGTTTTAGAACTCCATGGAATCGTTAATTCACCACTTCAAATTCTTCACCCAAGGATACCAAGTTCCACCCGGAGCAACCTATGTTCCAATCGAGGCCCCTAAAGGAGAGTTTGGAGTGTATCTTGTTTCTGACGGTACTAGCAGACCCTACAGGTAAAGCTGCTTGAAATCTCGCTGAAATGGCTAATTTGTACCTAATTTAGATGCTTCATCCGTGCTCCTGCATTTCCGCATTTGGCCGCCTTACCTGACATATGTTACATGTCGCTGATTGCTGATGTCGTTGCAGTCATCGGAACATTGGACATTATCTTTGGCGAAGTGGATCGATAAGCCCATAGCTGGGTCAATCCATAGATCCACTCCATAATATACAGGGTGTTCCAAGAAATGTACTGACCGTTTGATTGCCAATAACTCTATCGCCTAACGAGCTCTCGCGGACCTTCAGATAGCACATTATAGGGCTGGCTTCAACTCAACTTTGCAGTGCAAAAAAAATGTGGTGGGACCTTATGTTAGAAGCGCTGATTCTGGAAAAATTTGTACAGTTTGTGAAGACGTTTAGATGGTGTAATCAGATTGATTGATTCTTGAAAAAACCGCCAGATGGTATGACTTTTGTAACTACCCTATTTTCAGGTGTATAAGGAGCACCATTTTCACTCTAAAGGCGAACACGCCAAAGGACTGATTGTCATCATGGAGCGCGTTAACTGAGAGCAGTGTGCGATAAGGCGACCGCTTCGCGAGACATATGCGCGGCGGCTCGCCTGGGTCTGCTCACGTTTAGAGCAAAAAGGGTGCGGCTTATACACCTGAAAATAGGGTAAGAGTACCCTTTGATTCGACGGGATTGACTGCTGGAAGGCGGAGCTTCGAGGCCTTAGAGAGCACGCTCGCGAGGAGACTGCGTAGCGGGTGTGAGCGGTCGCCTTCCAGCCGCCAGTCCCATTTGTATTGAAAAGTAAGAGCAGCGCTTATTGACTTCGTAACAGTTTCAAGTTTTTTTTGATATTTCGGGACAATCTATGCTCCCATCCCCTAGATGCAAACTCTTTGAAATCTGCCCATGTTCCTACGGCAATAAAAAACTGAGCGATAATTTTGAATAAAAACTCCAAATTGAGTCAATCCTGGCACATGATTAGCTTCGTGAAAGCTGCGCGTAAAACGAGTTATTAGCAATTAAACGTTTGATAATTTTTTTGGGTCACCTAATATTGTATAGTGGTAGCAGTACACTGCAAAACATCATCCGTTTAGAGAATTGTGTTTTCGAAGCTGTGTCTGTTGTTTAGCGCAGGAATAAATAGATAGGCTCCTAGAAATAAGCCTAGAAGTGCTTTATCCAAAAATGCACCTATTCTTGAATTCCCAAAATCTCATGGCTTTTTAGAAACAACTGATGAAGACAGCTCTTGTTATGACAACGGACAAACACTAGATCGACTATGCTAAAGAATAGATCATTGAGAAAGACTAGGGGAGCAAGGTATAAAGACTACCTTCATTACAATGAATTTGGATTCACCATCAAACATTACAACTTAGAGTGATTCTCGGTTTACAAACAACCCAACCACATACGAATAAGGAAAAAAAGTTATCCGAATACATAGCCATGTACGGATAGAAAAAAATGATTTACCTGGGTCGTATTTAGATCGCACTTTAATCAGAGTAATCTAATTCTAAAAACAAAAAAAACTGAATTAGGAACATATTTGACCACCTCTACTACTTTTGATTCAATGAAAATGTTACTTTACTACTGGCAAAGTTGCCGAATGATACAGTATTGATTTCTAGCAATGACAAGGACATTCATGTTTTTCTTAACAATTTCATTTCTGGAAGGTTGGAAGGAGTAAGGTAGAACAGATTACGCAGCGGTCGTACAGTGTCCTGGACCTAACAACAAATCACTTTTTGTTAGAATGAAGATAGACAAACGCTTCAAATGATACTTCCATTATATTCTCCATAAAAGGTAAGAAGCAGTGGTTTTCCTTCCCACTCCCCAAAATAATTATCAGAAAGAAGAAATACAACAACAAAGTGAAAACTGCTCTATTCTTTCTTAAACTAGTGTTTTGCATTCATTCCAAATTCAAAGCATTTTCGGAACATTTAGCAGACATGGATGCCGCAGACGTCTGACAATATATCAGGTCGTTCCATAAGTTCGTAGCGTTTTCATTTTCGTCCTCATATCTTTGAGGAGCGGTTGAATTGCGGCAAGATGCGTATTTGGGAGGACTGATTGTGCCTTCTAAAGATGTCCGCTGATTCCGGTGAAAAGCTGATTCACTCGGATCTCGTAGCTTCCAAAGATGGAAATCTCGAAAGGCAAAAAGAAGTAACTTTGACATTCGCGCGTTTTTCCTTATGAAAAGTAGCACTTTTGCACAGAATTTACTGTCGACTAGGGAACATGGCGTTCGCACATCAATATGACACAAAAAAGGATCGGATTGCTACAAAAAAGGAGCTGTGCAGGGTGCCCCCGAACGAGACTTTTCGGCGGACGTGCAGGATGTCCTGCACTGAAAATTGTTGTATAAGTAGACGAATGTACATCAGAACGCTCTTTCATTTGCTCCGCTCTCTGGCAAACCTCATAGATGGTGCATGGCTCGATTTCAGTAAGTAGTTTGAGAGCTGGTTAGATGACTTTCTTGGGACCCGGCGGGCTGCCGCTTGAAAAAGTGAGATTGAGAAACTAACAGGAATGTGCCAAAAGGTCGTGCGCTATAGTGAGAATATTATTTTGGTTGGTTTTTACTGTAAACTGATAATTTTGTGGGCCTGTAAAAACACTACAAACTCATGGAAACGACCTAATACATTTCAGTTTGCGTACACCTCGATCAATACTACTTTTTTGTTTTAGTTGCTTCAAAAATAAATCCGTTTTCTAGATAAATCAAGTTGTTTTGTTTCCCTAGCAGATTTGGGGTAATATTCCGTAGAGTGAAGCTACACAAAATGACCATCAAATAAAAGACCATCAAAGATCCGCCTACGGTAACCAAGGTATATGAGGATGAGATGAGCATGTATGTATGATGAGCAAAAAAATTTTCCAACTATAAAAATCGGACCGCCTTCCGAAAAATCCCTGCTGACTCCAACTTGGTCAATATACGGTAGACACATAGCAGTGGCGTACCAAGGGGGGGGGGAACAGGCCTCCCTTTTTCTGAAATTTGGGGTTATGAGCCCGCGAAAATTTTTGAAAGCATATCAAAAATTTTCGGAGTGCGTGGCTGACGCCACGCATCTTCATTAGAAAAAATTTCTGTCGAGCCCCTCCCCCCCCCCCAAGTCGAAATCCTGGGTACGCCACTGACACATAGTAGTACTCAAAAATGTATTTGGTGGATTTTTTAAGGCTCAAAATTATGGAATAAAAATAGCCCGAAAAAATGTCATTTTTTTCGGGTTCTTTACGTTGAACTTGGTCATTCTCGATTACCAGAGCGCCTTCTACAGAACTCTAAGGTTACATTTACTATGGATTGCAGTACACAATCGAATATGTGGAAGGACCTGGGGCGGATTTGGTCTTTGGATTGTTTTTTCTCGCTTTTTATGCGCAGAAGAAAAATCCAGTAAAAGCATTTTCGAGTACTACCTTGCGTTCTGTATGATGACCAAGTTAGAGATCTGTAGGATTCTTCTTCGCAAAAATTTGATTTCCAGGTGACAAAATTTTTTTCGATTTTGGCTCCTCTTTACCTGGATTATGACTTAGACGAATTTGTGGCAGCCATTTAGTAAAGCTTGCTTAGCTCTATTGAACGACATTTCATTTTCATTTCATTTTCATTTTCATTTACATAGGAAACCCTATGTGAAAATTATAACACTGAACAACAGTACATGCCAAAGGGCACGACAGAACAATAAAAACAATCGTGAACACGTGCAAAGAAAAGAACAATAGTGATTATGAATATTCAGATGAAGAAAGTAGATAGCTCTTAAGGATGGTTTTAAAATGAGAAAGTCTAACTGGAAGGACTTGCATTCTGATAAGTTTATCAAGGTCGCGAGAGACTCTAGATATGAAAAAATTTTTCCTCACATTCCTTCTCGTTCTGTTAATCATAAGCTTGCACGGATCGCCCCTAGTTACAGATGTCCTCCGATCAAAGAAATCAGCCGCATTTAGCTGACATCCCCCAAACAAAATTTTGTGGGCCATGATGAGATCAAACTTTCTTCTCCTGGTGGCTAAGTCTTCCAACCCCAACTCTTTATTTCGAAGTTGGAAGCCCGGTAACTGATTATACACAAAACCTCTACTGCGTATCATCAATTTCCTAGTGAAGCTGTTTTGTACTTTTTCCAATATGTAAGCATTTTTGCTCGTGCAAGGATTGAAAATCACGGTGCCATACTCAATCAAGGGTCTTATATAGACCTTGTAAGCTTGAAGTAGAATTTCAACATCATTCGTTGTCATTGCCCTGAACAGATTATGGACAGCGGCGGTTCCAATGCTAGCTATTTTCTCACAATGATGGCCAAAAGTAAGCTTGTTATCCAGCAAAAAACCAAGGTCAGTCACCTCATCTTCATAGCCAATCTTGTTACCATCCATATAATAAGCGTATTCGGCGCTACCAGATCCCAAGTGTAGGACCTTGGTTTTCTCGAAAGAGATGGGCAAACCCCACTCTTTTGACCAAATTACCACAGCATTTAGAGCCTCTTGTAATTTGACCTTGTCATTACGCTCAGATATCGTAGTATAAAGTTTGAAATCGTCTGCGAAGGCACAACATGAGACTCCAAGGTTAGATACAATCTCAGGAAGTTCGAAGGTATAGATATTGAATAAAACTGGTGATAGAACGCCACCCTGCGGCACTCCAGAGGACATTGCTCGAGGACGAGAAAAGGCCTCATTGACTCGAACAATAAAGGTACGATCTCGCAAAAAGGCCTCGATCCAAGCTACAAGGCATGGGTGTAATCCGACCATTTTTAGCTTACAAATCAATTTGGGATGTAAGACTTTATCAAAAGCCTTGGTAAAGTCCAGATAGATGATATCTGTTTCCCTCCCAGCATCGAGGGAACGGGTCCATGCGTTCAAACACTGTAGCATAGCTGTTACAGTTGATTTCCCTTTTTGAAACCCATGCTGTGAGGGGGAAATTATTTCATAGCGGGTAAGGTGCTTCAATATCTGTTTCTTTAGTATTTTCTCAAACAACCTAGCAAAAATAGATGTGATGCTGATGGGACGGTAATTGTGGCCACAAGTGTGAGGTTTTTTCTTAGGAATGGGTGTCACATACGAAAGCCTCCACCTATCAGGGACCTCGGATTTCATCAAACTTATGTTGTATAAGAATTCGAGTGGCTTTGCAATCACATGTGCCACTTCTTTTATGAAGTGAAGCGGAATGCGATCCGGGGTAAGAGACTTGGATTTGGGCCACTTACGAAGAAGCTCATATATTGTACTGTCATCAAAATAGGTAACATCCTTCATCACATCAAAACGTGTGTTGACCGATTGCTGCGAATCAGTATCTCCATCCTTTACGAATACATCTTCAAAAATATCCGCAAGGTGCTCAGCTTTATCATGGTCAGAGAATAGAGCGTTGCCATTGGATGTGATGATGACCCCCAATTCTGGTCTTTCTTTTAGCCTACCATTGAGTAGACTGTAAAAAGATGCCTTATTACCAGATCTTATTATCTTTTTCTCCAAATTAGCGTTGTACTTTTTCAGTCTCTTTTCGAATTTCTCATTGATTTTTTTATACAGTGCAAAAGCAGTAGGATCGGAGGTAGACTTTGCTTTGAACCAGGCCTGGGTTCGTAAACGAGCGAGGGAGAGAATATGCTGGGGCAGTTTAACCTTATGTGAAGGCACTTTCTTCAGTGGGACAAAACGTTCGATTGTGTGCTGAAGCACAAAGATAAACAACTCATACATTTCATTGACCGACCCAGTTGCACTGAAAGACCCCAACCAATCAATAGTTTGTAGGTAATCAATAGCCCCCACCATGTCTGCATTTGCATAGTCTCTCTTCAACTTGAATTTGGTTCGAGTAATTGTTGGGCAGCATAAGGAGAAGGTAACCAAAGCGTGGTCGCTGGAGCCAACCGGTGGGTTGACTCTGATGCCAGACACAAGAGCTTCTTCGTTAGTGAAGACCAAATCCAGGATGTTTCTTCCCAATGTACCTCTTGTAACTAACTGAGAAAGTTCATGACTCTTACACATACCCAAAAAGGATTTGATAGCGGGGTTGATTTTATTGATTTGTTGACTTTTCCAGTCAATAGAGGGAAAATTGAAGTCACCGAGGAGGACCGAGGGGTAATTGCAGGCTATCAAATCAGACAAAGCTTTCGTCATTTGTTCACAGGAATGGTTTGAGCAGGATGGAGTTCTATAAACCAGTATGAGACGTATGAGCTTTTGGCAGACACGGACATCAATGCACAACAATTCATAACTATTAGGAACAGCTTCACAGAAAACTAGATGAGGGTAGAGGTCCTTGGTTATCAAAAATGCAACACCGCCACCTTTTTTGTTTGGACGATCACATCTGTAAATAGCAAACCCAGGAAAACTTCCAAATAAACAAGAATTGGTGATACTGTCATTAAGCCATGTCTCAGTAAGGCCCACTATGCTTGGCTCAACAGATTTGAGAAGGAATGCAAGGCTAGCTGCGTTTTTTGGAACCGACCTTATGTTCGTCAGAATGCATTTGAAGGAACTACCTACTTTCCGAAGAGGTCTCACTGGTTTAAAGAATCGAGAACATCAGTATGAACACTACGGATACTACAATTTGGAGAGCTTTCTCTCATACTAGCAAGCTGAATATCATTGTTAACAGAAGCAATAAAACCATTACTAGGAACAGAACGTTTCGATTTCCTATCCATCTTACCCCTTTCCCTCTCTTCCTTTGAGAGCGACGCTCGTATATAGATGCCACGCTTGCAAGGAAAATGTTTTAATTGCGGGGCCCTATTGAGAGTCAATCTAGCAAAGAAAGAGGAGGGAAGGACTACTTTAAGCAAACGATCATGTCGCATATTGGGTCGCCCCATGCGATAAACGGAAATAGGATGACAATCAATAGATAAAAAATCTAGAAGTTGACCCACACATGTGTAGTCATGTGACGTCCTGAAAAAGCTGCTTCCTTCTCGTTTTTCCGGAACACCAATAAACACCAGTGATCGTTGCTGCTCAGCGTCCTTGTAGCTGGTGTTCTGGCTCGGTTGAAAGGTAGACTGGTGAACACTGGAATTGGTTTTGGTTTTGTTGATCATATTTCTCAAATCCGCGTTTTCGGCCTTCAAAGCCGCTACTTCTTCGGTCAAACGCTTCACATCAGATACCAACTCACGATTGCACTGTGTTACAGCTTCAATGTCCTTTCGGGTCTCAAGAAGATATGCGATTATGGTCCTTGCGTAAAGTGGCAAGGAGTCGTCCTTCATAAGCTCAGTTGCAGCTCGCTGGAAGTCTGGTGAAGAATTTGGGGCGTCTTCAAACTCCAGCTTTCTTTTCTTAAGTCGATCAATAGGAGCTAAAGGAAAGCAAGGAGTATCCATGTCCAATTACAGCTGCAGAGGAGGAAGTCAATCCAAATTTGGCGATAGGGCTGGGAAATTCAGAAGCGATTGACGAGTAGAATAGATGACGGAAAAGTCAGAATCCAGTAACAACAGTGGAGTCGAATGCAATCCAGACATACGTCCCTTTGAGGGTGAATGCCCAAGAAATGAATGCATACCAATTAGTGTTCAACTAGACCACCAATTCATAAAGACGCAACGTCGAATTTCAATCAATAATCAGCAAACTGGATTTCTAAAAACACAGCAGTGCTCACTCTCAATAAGAGGGACATTTCCTCTTTCTCATCAAATCCACCTTTTGCTGCGGATAGGGCACTTTCTAAAACTCATTTCTAGCATTCTAATGCGTGCAATTACACAGGATGCACTCATGCAATAAAATCAATGGATGAGCCACGAGATGTATGGTTGATCGGTTATTGGTCCACCTTTCCTGCAATCTTGACTATTTTCAAGTTTATTGCGCGAAAAGGTCTCGGGGGTACCCATCGACAGTAATTGAACAGTTTATCCAGTAAGAACAGGATACAGATATAAGAATAGCAAAAACATCTACAGCACATTGGTAAGTACGCAGAAAATCAGAAAATCAAAAAAATTAGTTCGTCTTCCTTAGTGCTGACTTCGGCAAATGTGTTTCCCATGCATCCCATTTCACGCCACAGCAGGAATTGCTCACCTGAAATGATTACAATAAAAAATTGAACGGGGACGAGATAAAGCCGATTACTTCCGTAACGTTCCCTTTCATGAACGACATGTGATGCTGAAGTGGGACCCAGTCGTCGTATTTTATCGCAACCTCATCCTGGATCTCTTTATTCTCAGTGGTGGTTGGCCCACGTAGCCGAACACATTATCGCCGCAAGCCATGCATCCAGCCCATTCTCTTTCATGGTACTGATACCTTTAAAAAAAGTCGCAAACAGACTCAGAAGTCACAATTGTATTTTGCTACCAAACTGACAGTCTGATAGTCCAAAAACTTCTCTATGGAGACATAAGACGCACATGCACACTCAAGAAATATTTGCAAATCCAACTTGCTTCTTAAGAAGTTTTGAAAAAGGTTTTGATTGCTCAAAAATGTACTCAAAATGCACAATCTTCTCAAAAAGTTTCGAAAATCTCATTATTTTCGGATTTTGTCCGAAGGAATTTCTTCAAACATCTATGAAAAGAGTCATTAGTTCCGCTCCCATGCTGAGCTGACACCCCCAAAGAGTATGCCTAAAAAGTGCTTAACTCTGACCTGACGAAAAATTTCCAGTAGATTCCTATGGCAGTCTGATTCCATTGTACAGTATCTCCAATCTGGAACTCTGTGCGCAGGCACATCTCTGCAAGACCGGGAAGCTTATAGTACTGAAACCGTGGAAGTAGGCAGATAAGTTTCTTTCGCACTAAGATTTACCTCACGATCAGCTTCTCTGTGTAGAAAATCCCGAGCCTGGTCGTCTATAGGAGAGCAAAAGCTTTTACCATCTCGTAGGTAATTCAGTACCTGCTATGAAATTCCGTATAAATATGAAGGTAGAAAAAAATTACTGCGAAACCTATACCTACCTCTGCGAAATAAGTCGGGTCCCTATCGATAAAGAGTTCCTCCTGATTCCGTCCACGCTTAGCCATTGCAGATAGCACCTGACGAAATCAGGGCACAAGAGGTCAAGATATAAGCGAGTTTGAACTCACAGAGCCTTCTGCGTTGGTAAGGGTTGAGAAGGAGGTCTCGAAAACACTTCCGCCAACATTGATTCTTATGCGATCGTCACATAATGGAAGCTCAACGATTTGTGTCTACAAAACTCCCTTCAACGATAAGAGGAAATGTTTAAAGAGTTACCAAAGTTTTGGCTGTTTCCATAGTCTAAGTGATTTGAAAGTAGCCATATCTTGTACACAGCGAGAACATAAGACTCACCATTGTGCAATAGGCAGCGAATTATTGTGACACAGGGGCCCACCGCCACCATCAAAACAACGCGATCTCGATTGGGTCCTACGACGATGGCAACCTCTGTTTTCGCAATGCTTCCTGCCCTTACGATCGGATTAAGAATAGATCGTGCGCTTAAGTGCATAGTAACGAGAAACGTTTGGAAATAGTTGACTTGTTTGGCGATTCTGCCTTGAATACACCAGGCATTTTTTTTCTATAGCTTTGGAGAGTTCCCCAGTAAGAATAAGCGTATGAAACTCCACCTTCAATTTTTGCGCGAATATCTATCGGAGAGTTCACTGTATAGGAGTGCTATTCTATGCTTTCAGTCCAAATACATGAAGTTTGGAAAGAAAAACAACGAGCGGTCTATGTGATGTTTCTAAGTTGACTAAGGAATGTTTTCCCACATTATGCCTTCCCTGCATATGCAAAGTGAAAAAAGGTGAAGACAAACTCAATAACAGTGCTTAAGGCGATTTTTCAACCTATCATGCGCAAAATGATCTGTGCGATAGTTTTTCAGGACCAAAGCAATGTCCAAAATCTGCGTGGCCGGATTCCTCATGTGGAAAGTGGCTGGAAGTTCAAACTAAGCTAGTGTCCAAGAGACAGTTCACATATTATCTGTAGCAGCGACATCTCGTACTGTAATCGTCTCGAGCGGACCAATCAGCGTCTTCGATTACGGTATGCACTGAGCTGAAGACTAAAAATTTGTTTGCGGCCATGAGTACACGAATATATCATAAACTGCCGCTTGGCAGTGGTTTCTAGGACTTCTTAGTCAGCTCACAGAAGAGTTTCAGGTTTTCATATTGAAGTTGAATAAACGCACCCGGCCACCATGCGTTCCCTCTGTATTCAAACTCACCCTATGTAAATGAAAATATGAGCATTGACTGAGTTTAGAATATGATAGCTGATTTTATCGATTTGTCGATATGCAGTGTTTCCCGCGAGTAAACCGATTGGTCAAACGTAGGCATTGACAGATGACCGGCAAAAGCTTACACTCATTTCAACTCTTTGATGTTAACATTGTGAAAAGCAGAATGTACACGGGTTCAAGCATGTGTAAGAAATTTTATTACTATAACTTCATACCAATCCTAGATCGGTCACAATACAGCCACAGTGCTCAATGAACCATTCGTACTAAGTCTGCACCTAAAAGTTTTTACAAAATTCAAAAAATATCTTTGCTCCCCAGTGAATCGAGTCATTTGCAATTTTCCTAACTCATGTAGGCCAACTCAGAGATTTTGCTACTCATTCAATTCGCCGCCCTCAATTTGTCACTGTTCGCACCATCTTTTGGGTACGTTTTAAAGTTGCCCTTGTACCAGCGCCGTGCCAGTGCCGTGCCGGAACCTTGTGGACGCCTTCCGCATCGATCGACCAATGTTCCGGCACAGCGCTAGCACGTGCGATTGGAAACCCATGAAATAAATGTGCTCCATGGCCCATCCTGGAAAGTTGCAAATGCATCAATAAAAACCAAAAAATTTCTATAGGTTTACAAAAAATAACGAAAAACAGAGTTGCTTGGATGGTCCTGTCCAAATAAATTTTCTGTGATCACAAAGATTTTCTCTCTGACTTTTTCGGGAACAAAATGATTTGGACTTTTTGCTAGCAAAAAGGCACTTTGCATCTTTCAACTGTCTCTCAATTCTGGAACCAACTTTTCCTGGTTTCCTTTCAATTTGCCCCTTGGATGCAAGAGGAGCATTTATCGCTTTTACTACTATACTCATTGAGGTAAAAAGATCACAACAAATACATATATAGCAGACAAATAAGCATTGTAAGCAGAAAACTACTGTTCATCAAGAGTGAAGCTTTACGTATTTGGAGCCATACTAGTCCTATAATTCCCACAGTCCCACTGTCTGTGGGGCGCAAAAATCCACATTTCTCGTGCAGTTCGCGCTTAAGCAAAATTGCAGGAATCGTAAGAAACACTGATTCACGAAGGCCACAAGAATAGTAGTTGGGCTGGACCCCTAGTGAATTGAATACTGTCAAGTATTCAGCATATGAGGCAAAAATAAATGGATTCTATGATACAGAAATAAATGGAAATTTCTACTGCGACGTGGCCAACCGCAAAACTGATTGTTGATGATGAAAGTACCAGCCGTTGTCCCATTTTACGGCACAGCACATGTTTGAATCCGCCTAAAATTACCAGACAGAATTTTTTTTCAAAAATGTGTAGTACCATTATTTGCGTCACCCTAGTCACAATTCCTTTCATGAACTGCATTTCATGCTTTAAGTGCATCCAGTCTCCATAGTTAATCGTATTGCTGTGCGTTACCAAATCACGAACTTTTGCTCCACAATCCACACAGTTGTTATCCGCACACGACTTTCTACCGTTATACTCGTACCTATAAAAATGTCACATTGATTTGGGATGGTGTTGATAGCCGCTACAAAAATGGAAAAAGTTATTAGGTTGTGTAATAAGTTCTGTCCCATTTTTTCTTTCGATTTTTTCTTAATATTTTGGGCAATGTTCTGCAGATTGTTTATATGCAATTAAAAGCTCTAAGCCTTTTCCACTAAAACTTTCGTTTCGTTTTTCTACATCAGAAGACTTGAAAAAGTTTTACAGCTTCAAACTTGGAAAATCAAACAGGGAAAAAACCCATTTTCGACAACTATGTTACGTCGCCCTCCAAATTGATCAGAATGCCTACAAAAAAGACTCGAAGAATTTGCTTCACATAAGTAAAGAATGTTATAGCTTCTATTGTGCTTTAAGAGCTCTGAAACTTCTCAAAAATCATTTCTGTAAACTTTAGAAAAGTCTTCTTTCTAACGCATTTTCAACGTTGGCGTTGGACATCATTTCAAGGCATCCTGAGGGAGGACGGTAGGCGGATCATCCAGAAAAGGCAGAATTGATAGCTTGCGGCTTCAAAATTATCGATTTTATAGGCTAAATACTCAAAATTCGGATTTTGGGAGCCACACAACTTGGGGCGGGACGGCGGACATCGCCGTGACAAAATCCTGCTTTGCCGATTGATTGCCGATTGCCGAAAATGACATTAAATTGTCGGTGGAAGGAGGGGAACAAACGCAAACGGTGGTAGAATAAGCGTACGAGTTTAAGAGATTGTTTTGTTTGCCGTGAAGGTTGTTTAATAAGTTTTACCTACGAAAAGCGAGAAAAATTTTGAGGAAAAAAGTGTCGAAAATTGATTTTTTGGCTCTTCGGATTTTCTGTTATAATGATAAAAATCTTATTCAAGTTCCTGCTATGTTGGTGGATGATGCATACGAGTCTGCAGAGCAGACTTCGAGCTTTCAAAAGCATATACTTTTTATCTTAGATCTAGTCAATATTGTCAAGAAAAAACTAAAACAAAAATGGGACAGAACTTATTACACGACCTAATACAAATGCTTAATATTAGGTTGGTACAAAAGTAATGCGCGTTTTGCGAGTTCTCATTTTGACGTGCTATAACTTTCTAAAAAATCCACATTTTTCAGCGCGGCAAAATCCATCAGAGGCACCAAACCTCTCTCTATACAGCGCACATCAATTTGTGCTAACATCGCAAAACGATGAAAAATATGGATTGATAAGCAAAAAAAATTTTTTTCGGAAACCTCGTCTTTAACTGATCATAACTTCCTTCACGATTGTTGGTATAAATGAAAAGTTGACTATCTTGTAGCCGCAAGCCAGTAGTACAAATAAAAGTTGAAAGGGGCTCAAACAAAGAAGATTTGAGAAAAGAAAAAATAATATTTAAAATTGCCCGCTTTTTTCGACATTTTTTCGTAGCCCTCAAAATCCCAAAAAATGGAGATTTTTCATTTTCTGTGTACTGAACAGCTTCCAAGTTTCTGCAAAAACTGTCAACAGGAGGTCCACCCTTACGCTTACAGGAGTGAGCAAAACTTTGGCGATTGCCTTCTTCAAAGGAAATCTATGGGCCACAGAATGTTCAAAACCATCACTCATGTTGGGACACCGAAATCTCAGTCTGAATAATTTCTGAGAAAACAGCAAAGCGTGCATAACGTAGAAAATTTCTACTGCATACAGTAGTTAAATTTTCAAAAGAATGCGTTTACTCGCGCTCAAATTATGGCCAAAAAAGTAAATGCAATGAAATTCTGATTTCGAGTGCGGTTGTATGAAGCTCTATAAATTTCTAACGATTGAGGCTAGAAGCTTCTTTCAACAACCATTGAATAGAGCATAAAAGAAGCTTCTTTAAAGTATGCTGTGTAAGTTTCATAGGAGAAACACCGATGGAGAAAAGCTGTCTTGAAATAAGGGCTAGAAAAACGCGCATTACTTTTGCACAAACCTAATATTTTTCCAAATAAATAATATCAAAAAAATTCATCCCACCCAGCAAGAGATTTCCAGCGTGCTTCTATGTAGCTCTCCTTCCACATTACCCAGTCGCCCATGTGCAAACCGGGTGAGCACATTTTAGCAAGGCCGGGCAAGTTGTAAAACTGCAAGGTTTAATCGAAGTGAAAATTCTTAAGTTTGCAAAATGTCACCTCAGCCTCCCTTCGCAGGCTTTCTCTAGCATCGCGATCTGTTGGAAGAGCAAAATTCTCTCCATCTCTCAGATAGTCTAGCACCTCAAAAAAATCTCTTCCCCATGGATAATAAAACCTTGCATCACCTTTCCAAAGTAGGTCGGATTTCGATCTATAAATAACTCTTCCCCGTTACGCCAACGATTCGCTACCATCGCGGAAAGCACCTTCAAAACTAAATTATGTGACTGGGACTAGCAAAGAATTGAATTCAAGAACTTACACTGTCATTCAGTCTCGTCAACGTGGAGATTGTGGTCTCGAAAACTGTTCCACCTACGTTAATTCTAACTCGCCCACCAGTCTTTGACTGATCACTCTGCTCTACCTGAAACACT